ATACGAATGAAGTAGCTTTCTGTCGATTTAATAGTTTTAGTGTCAGAAGGTAGGCAAGGGTTTGTGAAATGCAGAACTGATTTGGAGGGTTAACCTGGCTTTTCTTTTTTCCAATCCATTCTTATTTATTAGAGAAAAACACAAAAATATGATACACTTCGTTTTACCAACTTAGAAACTGAGTGAAATACAACTGTTGGGTTAAATTGCTACTGCCATTTATGACCCACAAATGATCTACTGCAAAATATAACTGACTTTTTAAAACAACTGTAAAACGTGGGCACTGTGGTAGAATGTAATTCTGTATTAGATTCGTTCATCTGATGTATAGCGCACAGTGATACAGTATTATTTACTTGATGACGTTTTGGAGCATAAATTATCACTCATAATCATATCAATGTAATCACACTGTTTTTGACATCTAATTTTTATAGTCCTATCACCTCTTATTCTTTTGTTTAGTAACATTTCCTATATCTTTGGTTTAGGTGTTGCGTCATTCCTTTTACGTGCGTCGGATATAGGTTCGATTAACAAAAATCCAATAATCAATCCCTCTCTCCACCTAATTATATTGGACTTAAGTAAAGTGGTTTTATCGCACCCTATTTTGTGGCTGTTCGTCAATACATGTATCGTAATAGCTGAGTTTTCTTCTAGAATATTGATCTGAATGTGATTCGTTGTTCTTTGTTTAGCTAAATAATTGTTTTCCATTAATCCAACTGACACTGATCAACTAGTTTGACCCATGTACTTGACGTCACAGTGCGTGCATGGAATTTGATAGATTACATTATTTTACTTAACTGGATCTATAGGATCCTCAAGCTAACACGGCTTGTCTCTGAGTGAGTTTGCTGTTTTAAATGGCACCCTAATTCCAGCCTTGTTGAGAATCCTACGTAAAGTTTCTGATGTTCATTCCTTATATGGTAACACAATAGAGGCTTTGAACTTTTCGTCATTATTTATATTGGTATTACTGTTATCATTTTGTTTTTTATGTTTTCCTACCTACAAACCTGCAAACTCATAGCTAAGCTTTGCCGGTCTAAAAATCCTATGGATTCAGTTGAGCAAAATAATCTAATCTACCAAATCCCATGCACTGACTGTGAGCTCAAGTACATTGATTTGACTATAAACAACAAATATCGAAAGCAGTATGATTACGTTGATATCATTATGAGAAATATTTGTGCTCGAAACATCACCAAGTAAATAATACTATATCACTGTAAATTATAAATCAAACAAACAAATATAACAACTGACTTTTTTAAATCTATGAGGTATTAGTCTACTTGATGCTGTTTTATAAATTACTGTCAAGTTGTTCTACAGGGTTGGAAATTTAAGAACTCTTACCCGAATCTCATATCACACTGAATGGTACTCTTCCGCTTCTGAACTTCTATTTTTTGCATCTTTTATTACATTCTTTTCTTGGATATTTAGTTGGACAGGTCATTTATTTATATGGCTTAATGTTCACCTATTGCTTATACTCTGCCATCTCTGCAAATTGTTGGGTAATGTTAACACCATTAAACACTGCGATTTTTATGGGACTGCTTGTTGAAACCCATCAGCTTTTAAAAAGTGTATTTTGATTATTTATTAATATTTGTAATTTCTTGTTGCTATGCTGGACTCAATTGATCGACCCCTGTTGGCAAGTTGGCGGATCTTCGCTGTTGGGTGATTATTCATCGTGTTGTAATTTACCTGGTTGTGGTGATCAGTGGAACTGAGGACAAATTATCTAACTGTTGTGTCGAAATCCTGATGGGGATGAGGATATCAGTGAACAGAAAATGAATAGTACAATGATAAAAGCATTTGTTTCCAAACCAGTCAACATACAGGCGTCGACATAATATTTATATACAAGTCGTGAAAGAAGTGAATTGAATGAAGTATCTTTAGCTTCCAATTACAACAATTCAAATTTCTGCATGATGTCCGTAAATCTGAGCACATCTTCTTTGGTTAGTGTTGAAGTATGATTCACATGGAGGGATTTTATATATTGGTTTTTAAACGTGTATTATATTTCAGTTGTTTCATGAAAATATCTCTGTAGTGCGAACAATAGAGCTTATTTTAGGATATCATAAATATCTTTTAATTACTACTTGTTAAATGTCTACAGTTAGTTAGATACCACCCATGGCATGCTGCTTGTTTGAAAATTCCCGTCTTTTCTTTAAGGTTTGACAGATAAAGGAAACAAATCCTCACATCACTTCCTTCCAAACTTTGAACAACAGACGAAGATGGTCACTCTTCTTGTTCATAATTTTTCACGGTTACTGATATTCACTGTCTCTTTTTCGTTCTCCCATCTGTAACTCTAATTAAGTTGTCGTTTTTTCTCCATCCATTTTTTACTTATTTTATTTCGCCTACTTATTAAGCCGTTTGTAACTGTTGTCGATTGTTTACACTTATTAATGTGAGTACAATACACGCACCTTGTGAGTATCTGCATGCAACTTCACTAATCTCTTCATCTTCAAGCTCGTGGGTATGTCGTCTTTCATCTCTGTAAAAAATTACCCCAAAGCTCGATTTTGATCAATTCGTGTTTGAGAGACACAGCCAAACTACCAAATTTAAATCATGCCTGATCAGATTATCCTTTAGTTCAGCACATCAGCTCAGAGTAAAAATTTTTGATGAGTCATTACACAACCTTACTACAGGGAGTCGTTTTTGCCAGAATGAAGAGTAGGTTTAGGATCTATGATCTCACAGATTATTAGTAGAATTCAGTGGAGTGATGATTTTGCTTCTACAATAAAGTCAGCATAAATCCTGTTTTAGAAGCAACGACATCTTGACCAAGCCACCTGGAAAAAATCATGCAAGTTACGCTCTTTAAAGGGGGATACTGTTTCGTCAGTTGCAGTAAGAACTTAGGTTTGACTTAATGATATATGTATAGCTCAGTAGTTTCCTTGTCTAATTTGATTGTGCTGAAGTTATTTTGGTTTTTGTTTGTGATTAAGTGTGTGGATGATTAAAAAAGATTAAACAAAGAGGAATGAAAGCAACCTTTTCGACATATTTTATTCCACAGAATATTGGAATGACAATCACAAGCCTTACAGATGCAGAACATGTTTTCTGAAAGAAAATAAGCGCAACCAATGTATACTTGTGAAAAACTATTGCCACAGGCATTATTGCAGTTCTACGAGTGCAAACTGGAAATTTCCAGTGATATTTTTGTTATAAAATTTAAAGTCATGTTGTATAAATTAGTGGATCCGCTTGATAGAAGTATATTTCGCTAGATGAAATAAACTGAGTAAAGTGCAAAGTGTAGTATAAAGTCTGATGCGGAATTATCTTACATGGCTTACAATGGGCTTGTCAAAAATTTACCAGCAGTAAGAAAATATTTACCTTCCAATCTCCATTAATACATTTTACCCTTAGAAAATGCTTACTTTCCTAAACAATTTTCACTTGTTTAATCTGGAGGTTTGTGGAGGTTTATTAATTGATTTCACTTTGGGATTTATCATGCACTGACATCAGTTGGAGAAGGTCGCACTATGTCGTGAACTGACAAAAGTAGGAAATATTGATCATTGAATTCCGACCCAGTGGCTCAGTGGTAACGTGCTAACCGTGGAACCTGAAGGTCATAGGTTCAATCTGTATCAACGTCATGGGTAGGCACTGCTGAGGAGTCCCATACTGGGACGAAACAGCTGTCTAGTGCTTCCACTTTTCCATGTTCCTCCGGCTGATGTCAAAACATTCCAATACATGTCAATACAATTTCGACCTGAAATCAATATTGTTTTTTTAAAAATACGTATAGATTGTCACACGCAAATGAATCTGATGTCTTTGAATTTTTAATGTTACTAATGTTAGAAAACTGCTCCGGCTTAACAAAACTTTTTCCGGTACTACGAACAGCACCGATGTCCAGACTAGGTGTTTCGCACTTACGCTTGAAAATTTACTATCATGCATCTGTATATTTTTATTTGCATTAAGCAATACTTGAAAAAAGCTATTAACTATAACTACACCTTTGTAGATAAGGTTGACTAAATTGTAAACTGGCATACAATGGACTAGGTACTTTCTCTATATCATAACTACGATTAGTTTTTTCCTTAGTTGAATGTTAAGCATTTCATCTAACGGAAAAGGCTATCAAAATTCAGTTTTCAAAAGTCAAAGATGAAGTCACATTCTACTCTATTCATCAATTTGAATGTATACATGGTCTAACATATATAGGGATGGTTCATTAGTCATTAAAAATAAAGCCCACAGAATATATTTTCAAGTGTCTTTAAAAACAAGTAGAGCTTCTACCTGACCGATGTTGCAGACAAACATCCGTGCTCCTAAAGAGCTACTTTAAAGGCCATCTTAACAACTGAGATAGCCTATTTGGCTTCTATATTTTACGAAAAACTAATTTTCTAGCCGGAGTGCCGAAATTTGATTAGCTACTATAGCAGTTTCCAGGGTGGCCATGAAAGTCACCCCTCCTAAATCAGAGGGACTTTAAAAACTACCCTAGCACGGTTCGAAATAAGCATTTAGGTTTCTTACTTTCGGCTGGAAAAGATTTTCATAATTGGTTATTTTAGTGTCAGCTAGAGTGGTCTTTAAAGTCACTCCTAAATTGCTTAACATATTATTCAAACAAGGCTTAAGTTGGATGAGCATACGTCATTTACGCCCAACTATGAAACCTGTTAGGGATGTATTTTGCAGTTTGTGCACGTATTAACCATTAGGACATCTAAGTCTTTTTTATACAATGAAAAAATAATTTGTCATATTGATGGTACTTTCCTGATAAACTTTGCTTTGGTCTCAAGGTTAGGTTCCTACTCAGTTTTTGCTTTTTCGATCTCTGTTGTTATTTTAGCCTATAATATTGTCTCCGCATTTAACCTTCATTCAGTTTCCTACCACAAAACTTTACTTTTTTATGAAAGTTCTACATAATGTGTTCACATGTGACTTTCCAAGTTGATTCAGGTAAGTATGTGACGAACTCAGCATACGATAACTTATCTGTTTCTCTCCCTCGAACAAGAAATTGTGATTTAGAATGATGCCTAATTGGAAGGTTTGTTTGACCAACTGGTGTCACTCTTTCTAACTCCTCTAGACAATCAGAATGAACTAAGAGCTAAATTAGTAGATATCGCTCATCAGTTTCATAATACTGGTCCAAGATAGAAAAACATCTTAAGACATGTATATTTTAAATCACTGAAAGAATTAGTAGGTAACTCTGAAATTGTTATGCTGAAACCCGGTAAGGGATCAGGCGCGGTCGCTATGAGCAGTTTTGATTACAAAAGTAAAATGTTAGCCATCTTTTGTGATGAAATCCCATCTAAATGGATGTGCAAATTGTAAGGAGGAGTCTGTTTCAAACTGGTAATGATGTCTAGTATGAATTTGGATGATATGGATGAACCTAATTGTTAGAAACCTATAAGATCTAAAATTTAATTGATGTCAGTCCATGATGAATGCTACTTTAAAGTAAACAATAGCTATAAACCTCGAACAAAAATAGGAATTGGTTGTAAAATTGGTTATAAAAGAGGATGAAAATGCAAAAACGCGAAATTTCTTTCAATGGCTTATAGTGAGTGACAAAAGGAATCTATGGCTACCGTAAAATTTAATTGCTAACAACTATCATTCTTTGGATGCCCCTGTTCAGTTTTATTCTTCTGACAGCAAATACTTCTATAAATCTCAATAAATCAGTATTGCTTTGTTTGTCACTTATTTAAAACGCACTGGTGGTCTGAGCCTCGTGAACTGCATCCAGTGGGACTTCAATAGTGGGACGTCTGGGTCAATTTAGCTTCTCTATTCTTAGCTTTTTTAGGCTGAATGAATTCATCGTTTTCCTCAAAGTTTATTCTTGCTTTGCCAGAATTTTTGAACGGAACCAATTGTATGAAATGTAAAAATATTTCGTCAGTTGAGTTTATGCATCCTTATTATTCTAGTAATTTGACGTTTACTAATGTTCTGTAATTATAATTAAAGTCAAGCATATAACTATCTAAGGCTGTGGAAGAAAAAACGGAAATTTTTCTCTAGAGAAGACTCAGGACAGTACTAACAGAAAATTGCTGATATGTGTGAAAATTACCAGATTAAATTTGGAGGACATGAGGAATTTATATTTTTTGGCCTTTTACCACTGGTTACCTCCTCTGCTGTTGGAACTGTCTTGAGGGGTTGAGCATTTTGGGAGGGCGAATTTAAGCTGAACACAATTTTAGTTCAACTATCCACACTTAAATATTTTGGTTTGATCTTTAGGTTGTGCTTAGTTGTTTATAAACAATTTTGTCGGGGATTTTGTAACTTATTTAAGTGATAGATTCAACTTTCGTCACTTGTTGGTAAAACTTTTACAAATACATTTCTAAATTGGTGTAAATGGCTTTGAAATTATTTCGAGAATAAAATCGACATTATTTCAGTGTGCACAAAAATGTACTTTCGTTGACATATACACGGGCCTTGTAAGTTGTGTTTACAGAGTTCCCGAATTACATGCAGTATTTTGTTGTGAAAACCATAAGAATGTCTCTAATTTTCAAATTTATGTTTAGTGTTAAGTTGTCAGCTCTAAAATGTCGGTAACTCTTCAATTAATGTCATAATCCAGAATGTTCTTGTATTTCATAAGTCATCATTGTATGGTTCCACCTTTTCAGCCAAAGACTAAATTTCTTTGAAACACCAAATGTTTACATTAATGTATTTATTAGGAGTAGAGAAGATAAGCAAGACTCAGATAAACAGGCTGCTTGAGATAAAATGAATGGACTTTATGATTGGGAGTTTTATCTGCCTGCCAATGCGGTTTATTTTGAATCTTCAGTATATTATGTTTTACTTTGTTTTTCGTTAGTCAAGGCTATTGACACCAATTGTAAAAGTACACAGCCAAACATTACCAACTTCAAAATGTCCTTAAAATTTATTTCCTAGTGTCATTCACTTTTAGTTTTCCTTCAAAAATCGGTTTGCTAAGTTGGGTTCATTGTTGATCAATGTATCTCAAAAGATGCTTATGTGAATCTTGAAATTATTAGTTCAAGAGTACAGAAATGTACGTGCAACCTTATTTTATGACTTAGAATAGAGTCATTGTAATGTATCAACTCGTTTCATACCCCAGATCATTCAGCACTGATGTAAAGATAAGGAAGACGATGAAAATCAATGGTTTTATCGGCCACCAGGGTGAATAATAAGCAGTGATTGATTAAAAATACAATATTTATAACATTGGAAAAAATTATTCCCCTATGGCAATCCTACTTATTCAGTTAATAATAAACCAATCCGCACGACAAGGAACGCAGAAGAACAGATCTAATTATGTACAAATGAACTTCATAGAAATTAAATCCTAATACCTACCACATAGTTGAATTGCTGGGAGACAATTGTGCTGCTCGACACCCATGGATTAGGGGGGAAAAGTTTCTTTGTAACTATCCACTGCTTTCACTTTTTACACTCAGGTGAACTGATGAAAATTATTTTATAGTTGGGTTATGTCGTGCAAGAGAATGAACTCTAATCTTTACTAAGCTGGTTTCATGGTTATTCGTCGGAAATTTCTTGAAATAAAATACCTCAACAAAAACAGCTTCTACATAAATGAATGGATAAACAGTGGAAAATAAGTTGCGTAAGACATAGTTTTTCATCCATTTAACGGCTGACTTGTTGGCTGAAAAATATAACACCATGCACAAAAGAGGATTAGTCAAATTGTCACACTTTTTAGCAAAAATGGAGAATCGAGGATTTGAAAATTTCTGAATGGAGCAGACAGCTAATGATAACAGGAAGAAATAATTAGGCAAAGATAAACGAGAAACTCAAGGCTTAGAAGAAAGATAAAGTGTAGAACTTTTTGCGCTTCCAGACTGTTTTTTATTATTTGTTTCTAAAAAGATATAGAAGTCACCTGGGAAGACCATACTAGGCCATATAACTGGGACTGATGAAAGTGAATCTTATGCACTGGTTTATTATTTTGTTTTGTTCGTACTGGGGCTTCATTCAACCTTTTCCTTCCTAGCCGAAGTTTGACTTCGAAGCATGTTGTAATGTTGTAAGTAAAAAAGTGTTCAAGATATATCAATCAAGGTGGGCGAGCATATCTATTTTCTCAATGTTTTTTCTTCACGTTGCACTCTGAGCTGATCCATGGCATTAATTTGTAACTGGTTAAACCAAAAGTGAAAAATATTGTAGGGAAATAGATTACCATAATCACTGAATGCTTTTATGTTTTCACGCAGTGGCGTAAGCATGCAACGTATCTAGAAGCTTGTTTCCAAATGAGATAGATTGACAGGCTTCAGTAAATGTTACTGCAATCTATCATCTCTGTTGGACTAAAAGACTTTTCTGACAGACAGATTGGTTCATAGATGCACTCAATAACATAACAATCATTGCACTGACTTATTCCAGTTTCGTTATCCAATAATGTTGCTTTATCCTAAAACTGTAAGCTAACTAAAGTATCAGTTCTTGCGAAATAGGAGAGTGTGATATTGTTTTTGTTGATATGCAAGTTGATTTTGAACGTCATTAGCTTTGCAATTAGAACCTGATGTAACTGCTTACTCTAGCTCTTTGTCGACATTTTCTATGAGGAAGTTAATCTACTATCCTCATTTAAATGCCCGCTTATTTGTGGCACGATTCATTTAAGTTGAAAATGAATTAATGAAAGGGATCAAATTATACCAGATGTATTAACAAGGAAATTTTAATCAGCCATAGTGTCAAATTTATGCAATTAATACTGCAGACTTTCTCTCTCTTAATACTAGGTTTATAGAGACCTATTCGATTTTTAGCAAAATCCTAAGCTTTTTATTTGTATTTTAGTCTACTGCATACTACTTGGTCCCCGTCCTGGAGTATTGGTTGTCTTAAGATATTTGTATGTACTGTGTATGACATCCGTTCTTCTGGATTGAAGCTTCTTGTTTTACTGTGCAACTGTTATACCAACTACAATGCGTCATATAACCGTTAGTATTCCTCCCATCGGTATTCAAATACATGCTGATCAAAAACATGTATACTGCCTTTGATGTTTACATGCCTCAGTAATCTTTGATGGAACGTGAATTACTAAACGTTAAGAATAAAACTTATTGAATTAAGGGGATCAAAGAAACTAGAAGAACGTAGAAAATGTTGGGGGGAAAATATGCTTACAGACATGTTAGATTACTTTGCAACAAAAGAATTAGGATATAACATATTTATTGCTGGGTGATGTAAGCAATTGAAATACCTCGAACAAATTTGGGTAGATAAACTCGATCACACTTTATCTCTGTGTTTGGTGAAATTGATTATAATTATTTTTGCATAATTTCTTACCGATAATTCCTCATAACAGCTACATTTTACTTATATATTTCCATAAAATATCATATACATGTTTATCCCTGGCTCGGGACATTATTTTTGGATTAAAATGCAGCTGATTGCATTCAGAAAGTAATTAGACTTGATGGAAATAAAACTCAAGTACAGTTTGAATCAGCTGTAAACACTGAATTGCAGCTTACTTACTGGATATCTTATATGCCTCCTTAAACGGTCAACTCAATACTTTAAAAGTTGAATCTCATATCAAATGATCAAAAACATAGGAAGGTATAATAACATATGTATCTGAGTGTGATGTAACTTGTTTGGTATTATTAGGCATAGGAAACAGAAAACAATAGAAACGCAAACCTTTTTCTGGTAAAAGCTTTCATACTGCATTTAGTAGACACTAAAACCAGAATATAGGAAGTAGGTTTGTCTCGTCAGTTCACTTCATAACCTTCATATCTCAATTTTGACTTGGCTTAATTTTCATAAATTCGTCTCTGAATGATAAATAGTGTAAATGTTAGTTAGTAATTGCCAGTGGAATTTATTCTATCAGGTGTTCAGTTGAACTGCCCATTTAGGGAATTCAAAGCTGCTGAAGAACACTGAATCTATTTTTGTCAACAATCAGTTAGCCAAGGAACTTGATTTCATGATTGGTGTTATTCATTAACTAGGCTTATATGTAGCCTCCAGAAAACTCATCTGTGAATTATTCTAGAGTTTGAAATTGTGGCCTACAGCGAATGAAAACAACTGAAATATTCAAATCAGTTCTGCATGAGCAAACCTGTTGATCATCCAATTTTGAATTAATGCAGCTTCTTCTTCCACACTAGCATCTCACACTTATTTAAACGTCTAAATGCTTCGAAGATACTTTACAGTGCTATATTATACATGAAACAAGTAGGAAATCTAATGTAGATAGATTACATCGTAACCATTATCTACAATCTGAGAAAAAGTTTTTGTTCACTAAAAACAGTATCAAATAAAACGGCAGAGAAAATTCAGTTCGTCGCAAGACGTATGAACAAAGCTCGTATACATCAACATAGTCGTTTGGCTAATTGTGTACTTTCAAGTAAGGCTAATAGTACAGAAAAGCGCTGTAATACATACTTCGAAACAAAAGTAGTTTCTGAAAGAAATGATCCAGAATGGGAAGAGTTTTAGGTTACAATTTCAATGAAACTGAATAATTCTCGAAAACAGTAATGAACTTTGAGATCATTTAGCAGCAGAATATGAAGAGAAAACGCATTTATCCCCCTTACATTTCCAGCAAAATAATCTAATTTATTCTAAGCAGAACTGCTATTATTCATGACATCATTTGCTTCTGTATAAAATTCAATGTCTAAGGATGAAATTAGGTAAGAAAGTGTTTTCGTTTGGTGTAAGACAGGAATCGATCAGCGCAGTTTAATGTGCAGAATAAAGATAGTGTTATGTAGAAATGAAAATATTCTAATTTTCGTAAAGGAGCTTTTCTTAGCATAAATAAATCCGTCAAATATAGTACTCATACTTAAATAAAAAGGTGTGCAACGGCAAATCGGTTTGTTTCAGAAGTCAATGCAACTAAATAATGGGTCTAATTCCACTGGTGATGCCCGGAAGGTCACAGAAAAACCCACGGTACTTAGTGGTTTCATATTTTGTGAATCGTTACTAAAACGCGAATTATAACCCTTTGGGTTTATATAAATGGCTAGACTGATGTTAAGATATGACATGAAAAAAAAGAATTCTCCTTGAGCAGTGTTAAACTGTTGTTCAGCGTCACTGTTTCCGAAAATGTAGGTTAACTTGTTAAGTTTTGAGTTAATATTGTTTTTAGGTCACAATCGAGGAGATACGTTTGATTAATGTTTGTGAATAACAACTTATTAGTGTAAACGGTTAATTATTTATGACACATTGTTATTTATCTCATCTGAATAACGTACCCTAACCAAAAGTAGGTCAGTGTATTCCTTTTAAATCTGGATTTATGCAAAACAAAATTTCCAGAACCGTCTTATCCTAAATCGGATGCATTCATGTGGTTAGAGATAACTAAATTCTGTTCACTCAAAGAATAAGAGATAAAAGAAGTGGGTTTGAAACAATGTTGCATCAGCTGAAACTGTACATTTTCCAAAGAACTTTGTGACGGGTGACGGTGATGATGAACATAGCTAGGCTAATAATGACAGAGTCTACAGATAATTAGCCTAGTGGGCCAAAGAGGTTGAATGTTGCATAAGGAAGAAAGATATGTAGAAAAGAAGTGATTTTTCATTGACAGTGAGGACTAGTTTAAAGTAATACTTCAACTACCATTATTTTCAGAAGTCTAGAAAAACCACAGCTCTCAAAGTCCTTTGTGTCTATATTCAGAAACCTAAAGGTTTCTGAAAGTATCCCTTCGTAATAATGTGGAGCTTCATAGAATGCCCATGAACGTAGTATCTATCATTCATAATCAGTACAGGTACACTATCTGGTTAGTAGAATCACCTCAACGTCAATGGTATTGATTCGGGTTGAGCTACATTTACGGTGGTGAAAGTATTAGCTGTGATTTATTTTGTGTTACTTTAATTGACCTTGTAGTATTGGTACTAGTAAAACTGGGTGCACTGATACAGATTACTTTTATCGACAAACAGATGTACTGATATTTTACACATAATTACCTTGCGTCGTTTTTGTCACCAAGTCAAAATAAAATCCATGTGCAGTTTGGAACCAGAATCAGAAACTTAGATATACAATGACTTATCACCAGCGAGTAAATAATTTCATGCTGTCTAATCAAATTCTGTCAATCAGTCCTGTAATGTGGTCACAAGGCCGGGAGGCTCAGCACTACAGTACACATTGACTGGTGTTAGATGGCGGGTCCAGGGCTTCCCTCCGATTACTGACAATCATCTAAAACAAAACTGAATGTTCTGGTTACTTCTGTCAAGATTAAGGCAGTTTTAGCATAGTATTAAAGCCACCATATATATGGTAGGTAGAAATTACACTAGAGTGTTAGAGTGGTCGGAAAACTGAGTCTTGATTGTAAACCTGCTTATTTGAACGCTATTGTGTACCCATTTCAGTTCAAATAAAAAATCTCCAGTTGCAAGTGTGCTGGCCACACTCTTTGTCTGCTGGAATTGTTTGGCCTCAAAAACAAAATTAGCATTACCGGTACATAAAAGAATCTTCAGATAAGAAAACGGAATAAGCAATGAAATATTGTTGATAGAGACATAACGATACCAAACGAAAATTAGTAAATAAATAGTTTTTGTCAAGAGAAAACACAGTTCTGTTTTTGGAATTATTATCATGAATATATTCAACTAGTTTAAAAGTATTCTTTAGAATAAAACTATTTCTTATTGGGATCTAATTATTCCTTTAACCACTAAGCAGGCTTGTCAGTTTGAGACCCGTGCATTGACAGAACTGAACGCAGAGGATTATTAGGTTTGTAGGTTTTCGAAAAGTCCCAAATGTTTGAGAATTGGGATTCCATATGTTTTACTGAACTAAGATTTTTTCACCGGTTTAATTCGCAGAGAGAAGTTTCCTAGTTGGTTGTTACTTTGAATGTGGAGTGCATTCAGTTTCTGTGGGACATCCCTACGCAAATTTCTTTTCATATTCGAGAATGGATAACATCTTATTTTTATACTTATTTCTGTCCCCCATATAAACTACTGAACCTTAATCTGGTATAAGAATAGTGATATCAGTGTTGTGCTTCACTTCATTGGTGTCTTGGTAGTGTTTTCTGACGTTAGAATAATTTTTTTAAAACAATCTGTGCGAAACTGATGAACAGTATCCGCTAAAATAGCTTTCAAATCGTCCTGATTGTCTAGAGATATAGGAACAAGAGTCTGAAGTTGAATACAGCGGTATCTATTTTTGTCATCGTGCTACTGAAGCCCTATGTTCCACTAGGAACCCAAGGGACTAATAATAATAATAATAATATTTTTGTCATAGTTTCCTTCCGCATCAGCATAACCAGGTACTTGTCAAGGGTCTGTTGAAATGAATTCGAAGAATAAGTTTAAATAGCAATTCAGAGACAGAACTAGAGTAGCTTATAAGAGTATTACTAGACAACAATTATCCACCGAATTATATTATTCGTAATAGAAGAGTCATAAAAAATAAGTTTCATTGTTTAGTCAGTTTTAAAAAGAGATGTTTATATCACGCTACCATATATGTGCGATTCACAGAGTCTGATAACCGAACATATATTTAAGGCAGCCACCTGGATGACATACCATGCAAATAAACTCAACTGCATAGGGAAAATGAAATTTATTCACTCATGTAAGCTACCATGGCATTTAAACTATGGGATCATGTCTAACTGCGTTTATGCGTTTAGGTGTACGTGTAATCAAACATACATAGACAGGACTTTTTGATTTTGCAAGTTAAGGGTTCAGAACATGTTCTGTAATGGCTGAAACAAAAAATCAAGTCACATGATCGCGTTGACTCGGTAAACGGGAATTCAACTTCATCTATAGGCAAAACATCGCTGAAGAGGTTACAAGGTTGATTTGTATTCTTCCTTCCAACCTATTTGCAAAACCAATTGGACATGTATGCTTTTCATTTAGACTCCATGGATCAGCGACATGACAAGAAATAACATTGCTTGTGGTAAATGTTTGGTTCCTTGCAAACTTTCAGGCTTGTTCTTATTTTTATTCATCAGGGTTTTTTCTCCGTTTTCGGTCTTCGGCTTTCGTTATTGTATTGTATTTCATCCTAGGATTATACTCAGTACTTCTTGTTGAGCACTGACTATTTTATCGTATTTCTAGGGTCTGTTGGGTGCACCTGTCCTTTCGTTCAACGGCCTTCCATCCAATGGGACAGTCGATAGACGGTCTATAATTAGCACTCATTGGCAATGTGTGATATTTTGTGAAGTAATATATGAGGAAACGTGTTCTCAGTTGGAAGCACTCCGTCCAATAGGGTTCTTTCGCTCTCCTGTGTTAGGAAGCGTATTGAAGTTGAGTTTTTGAGGTATTAGAGAAGATTTATAGCTCAGGATGAGAATGAGCTTTGAGTTTTCTGTGTATCATGTCTCACTAAGCAGACAACAAACAATTAACATTGCAATTCTGAGCTACAAATCATCTTTATAGTCTCGATGTCATTTTGATGAGAGACGCTACTGGGCAAAATGACACTATTCAGACAAGTCACAGCTACATCAGATACTGCTGTTTGTTTGGGAGAATCTACGAATTCACAATACTTGAGCAGTTTCATACTATGGATTTAATATACATCAAAGACAAACTATGCATAAATTAAGATTTGCGCGACCGACTACTGCTTCACCTATATTTTACTTTGAGTTAATCAAATTCAGAGTAATATAAAATGTCCATGGAAATATCTGATTTTGGATATCGATGAAACGAGGAAAAGAACGTTTTGAATCTCGTTTTAAACTACTCACCACCTCGTCATGTGTATACTATAGTGTTTTCTCGTATATTCACGTATTGCGACATTCTGTTCAATATCTGATTTCTTTCCTACTCACTAAACGTTTTTGTGAACAGTTAAAAAGATCAGATCATGCAATCTTTCAAGATTTATAAATGCAACCATTATCTCTACACATTCTTTTCAGTTACTGGTGGTGGGGTACTTTATCAGAACTAATCATCTTCAGAAATAATGTTAAACTTCGAGTTTTCTACAGCAACTTATTTAAAATCAGTCTCTGATAAAGGTTTCTGTTAACGATTGCAGACTGTTGTCATCGTTTATTTTAGTTAAGAAAAGTGAATTCAAGCAAAGTAAATTTCAGGAAATATAGGAGGAAATGCAGCTGAAAGCCATCTTTGGAAAACACATTTCTATGTTCCCTAGTAGCTTGATGCCACGTATGACTTCTGAGTAATCTAATAACAAGTCCATCGTAACATATATTAAGAACAAATTCGATCCACAAAACAGTGCAAAACAGGTTAATATTAAATGTTTTGCAAAAATTGGCGCGGAATCACGCTCCTGTCCACACTTACACCAAGGAAAATATTAAGCCGCATCATACTGGAGAGACTAAAGGATGCACTGGATTCAAAACTACGACCGGAACAGGCTGGCTGGCTGGCTGGATTCAGGAAGTACAAATCATG